TATAGAAAATAATTATCGTCCTAAGCCATTTAGTGCCACCAATATTGTTCTTATTTCAAAAGTAGCAACCCTAATTCTCCAGCTTGGTTCAGACCGATAAGTTTATGCGATATAATTGTGAAACTGGTGGCCAAACCATCCCTAAACACCTCAAAATTGTTCTTCCAAATATGATTGATAATCCTCAAAGAACCTCTATGCCTAGGTGTTTGATCATCAATAATCTTTTAATTACGTCAAAGATGGATTATTTTAATTATGTTTGATCCACCAATCTTTTAATTTTAAAATAAAATGATGTTATTTTATATTTTTTATGTTAAATTAAGTTTTAATTAGGTCAAATAGGTTTAACCTAATTAATTTTTATTTGATTTAAAATTCAGTTTAAACTATGTTCTTGATTGATGGATTATTTGATTGACTTGTTAAGCCAAATTTAATATACTATTCTAACTAAATAAAAAAAAAACTATATAGAAAACAACATGCTCTATCGAGATTATCTATTGAGCATATGAACTAAAGAAAGTTTGTACTTGAATACCCATACTATTGTAATTCGGATTGGATTTATGGATGAGCATGAAAAGCTTCCAAAGATAAATGAGGCACAAACCATAGAAAAATCAAATTTAAAGGGAGCTTTAATAGTGGTTAATTATTCAGTATTGAAGAGATAATCCAATTTTTTTTTAAAGAAAAGAATTGTTTAAAAATAAAACTTTTCTAATTGAAAAACTAAAAACACTTGTTTATAATTTTTCAACTTTATTTTTTGTGTTGGAAAACAATAAAATGATGTTGTGAGTGTGTTCCTTTTTACGTATAAATCCAATTTTCCATTCACAAAACACGTGTTCCACCTAATTTTTTAATAAGTCACTAGCTATTTTTATGGTATTATTTAGTTATTGTTTTTAGATAAAAAAAATAAAAAATTATATGTTTGAAAAGATAAAGATAAAATAAATTTTTTAAAAAATAATTTTAAAACTATGTATTTTTATATTAGAAAGGATTGGGATTACAATGGGTATTAACAATCAATTTTTTTATATTTATATTTAATTTATTAATAATTATATAAAAAATTTATCTATTTATAAACTATACATTGATTTCTGAGTATTCAATAAGTATCAATTATCTACTATTGATAAATTAAAAATAAAAAAATACTTTTGAAGTATTAATATGGCCGTGTATTAAAAAAGCACCATTTTTTTTTGGAAAGAAAACCTTTATAATGAGCTAGTGGAAGAAAAAAAAAAGAATAAGTTTTATTTTTTAAACTTATAAGATAGATCTGCTACGATTTCTGTTGGTAAATGTAAGATTAAGGAAAATATTGTTTATGTTTTGAAACAGGTTGCATGGAATTAATTTCTAGTGGGTTAAATATTAATTCAATAAAATTTGGTTGACTCCATCCAAAATTTATAAAAAAAATATTATTTTTTTATTTTTTAAAAAATCATTTTAATAAAAATAACCTACATGGTGATCAAACTCTTTTTGGAGTCAATTGCATCCACTTCGTATAACTTAGTTAATTTTTTTTATTTCTGACCTTAATTAATTTTGTTTGATAAGAAATTTAATTTAATATTTTTTTTTTAATATTCTTAGCATAAGGTTCCTTAGATTTTTTTAAGACGTTGATAAGAATCTTATTGAATCATGCTATAATAATAATAATAGTCACAAAAGGTTTTGAATTCGTCTTATAAACACTTAAACAATGCTATTCTAATGAAGGCTGAGGTTGGTATATTTACAGTGTAGTCCTTATACGTTTAGTTTGTATAATCTAGTCCTTACAACGGAAAATGAAAAAAATACCTCAACGTATTTTCTAATTTATTAAATTTAAAATTTTTTAAATGCAGATATATTCTATTTCCTGATTTTCAATAAAAAAAAAATTAGAAATAAAATAGAAAAAATAGAGATGAATTTTCTTCTCTCGTAGGTTTTTCTTCTCTTCTAGAAGAGAAGAAAAACTCTTCGCAAACGACCTTGGTCCATCTCGGATTAAAAAATCAAAATCAAATTAAAAAAAATTCAAAACCAAACTTCGTGGCATTTTCCGAAAATAATAAAAAATTCCGAGGGTGGTTTTCCCAATAAATAAATAAATAAACAAAACAAATGCTGCGGTACGCTACCTGCCTACCTTGAAGCTTTCTTCACCTCCAAGCGATAACGAAAGTCTCGTTATTTACTCTCTCGTCTTCGAAAATTCATCTCCGCTTCTGCTGCTACGAAACCCAGCTTCTCTCCCAGGGTTAGAGCTTATTTTTTCAGTAGATGGGGCAACAATCGTTGATCTACAGCTTCGTGGCTCGAGGCACGGTGATTTTGGCTGATTACACCGATTTCTCTGGTAACTTCGCGAGCATAGCCGCTCAGTGTCTCCAGAAACTTCCTGCAACTAACAACAAGTTCACTTACAACTGCGATGGCCACACCTTCAACTACCTCGTCGATAACGGCTTCAGTATTTCCCTCCCTCCCTCCCTCCCTTCTTCCTCCCGTTGATTAATTGATTTACCGCTCTTTATGATCTGATCTATACGTTTTGCTGTGATCCTTTTATGCCTTTGTGTTCTAGATGGTATTTTTATTTATTTCAGACAGTTATAGATGATGGCTATTAGGGGAAACATTTGAAAAAAAAGAAATATTTAATTTACTATACTAGAATTTTCTTAGCTTTTAATGATGATGTAGATATTGATTATTGATGTTTTATGAGTATATAATATATCTTTCTATTTATTTTAAGCTTTAGAATTGTAGAAATGGATGTACATAAGTGATGGATTTAATTAATAGCAATTAAAAGTTTCCAAACTAACGGTTGCATCTCGGAACTTTTGCAGCTTACTGTGTAGTTGCAGTGGAGTCTGTGGGGCGACAGATTCCGATTGCTTATCTCGAGAGAATCAAGGAGGATTTTAC